CTGCACCGGGGACGGACACTGTTCCCCTGTCGGCAAGGGATGAAGACGTCTCTCCAGTAAGGGGACGAACCGTCACACGCCGTCGGATGGAGAAATGTCCGTACTGTGATTCTACATTGACGGGATTCTCGAATCTCGTCAGTCACTGTCGGTCATTTCATCCGGAACACCGCCCACCGCTTCCTGAGCTCAAATGCGATTTCTGTGACATGGTTTTCCCCACACGTAGAAGCACCGCACAGCACAGAAGTCGCTGCGCACACAACCCAGACGCCACACGACATCGAAACAGCAGTGCCAGGAGGCGATCTCTGCTGCCGCAGGATCAGCCAGCTTCCACAAGCACGCCAATTGGCCCGCAGGAAACCTTGCACCATCTGCTTCTGGAATGTCCAGGCACCTTGGCTGTGCGCCAACGGCTGGGCATTGAACAGGGCCTTCGCCTCGGAAAGTTCTCTCAATGGCAGTTGCTTCATAGCAGGAAGCTTTTGTCGTTGCTCGACCACCTCTTCGGCACCCTGATGGCATTGTATAGCTAGACGCGCTGGTAAGAGTGGAGGGAATATTCATCCGGGCCGCCGACCGGACCTTGCGGCCGCCAACAGGAGCCCCACAAGACAAAGAGAAGGGGGAACGGAATGGGGACGGAGTTCTTCAGATCCTCGATGAGCGTTTACACCAAGGAAGTGCATATTTATGTATGCGCTTTGTGGTGGCCACCGCCGCGGCGTGATCACTCCATCCGGGTTGGGCGTATATATATATATATAAGTGTGTGTGTGTGTGTGCCTTCATAACTCACGAGGTGGCGGATTTCGGGCTCTCCCAGCCGCAAGACCACGCCGCAGGGTGAGGATCACAAAGTGGGCGGGCGGGACGGCGCATACAGAAATGGAGGCGATGAAGTTTTCAGAAGGTCGTTTAACGGTTTTTTTTTCTAAAGTTTTTTTCTCCGCGTGAAAAGAATTTTTGTTTTAAGAGGAGAAATTTGTTGTGAGTGAGTGGGGTTTAAAAGAAGCCTAACAAAATTTGTTTCTTTTTTTTTTATTATTATATTTACTTTGACAAGGGTGTGTGTAAGGCGTGAGGGGAATTTCGCTATTGAGTGAAAATTAGTTAAACTTTTGGCACTGCCTCATTTAGCTCATATTATTTTATTGTCTTTTAAAATTGACGACCAACTTTATAAAGGCAATGAAACAAGAATTGCTTAAAGAGCCTGTAAAAAAAAAAATGTTGGGCCGATATCCCGTGAAGATGATGACGCTGCCGCGAGCTTCCTGTTGATGAAGAGTGGGAATGAAAAGTTGATCTCAGTGTACGAAAACAAGAAGAGTGATGACGGGTCATACAGTCTTGTCGCCGTGCGCCTGAGGGAGCAGCTGAGGTGGATCAAATCCATGGTGAAGACATGGGAGGATTTGGACATTGACTTAAGAACATGAGTTCTCCTGCCGGGGTTGACTTGGTGGCAACAGAGGGTATGTGCGCCGATACTGTTCCCACTAACAGGCTTGTTGGCTTTTTGTCTGGTAACTTCTCTGAGACCGAGTGGAGGGACGAGTACCTCTGCGTGAATGCATGAGTGAAGAATGGGGAGAGGAGGGTTCCCAATGGATGGACGTTCAAAGGGTCTGGAGCAGGGGCGGAGTGGCCTGTTGGCGACATGGGGCAGACTGTGCCGTACTACTTTGCGAACACCGAGTTCACTCTTGTGGCGACGGTGTCCATCCACGAGGTGCCGCAGAGTGGCAGCCCCATTCCTTTGATTGGCGCGAGGATGAATGACACCGACAAAACGGTCCTTTGGTCTGTCGTACACCCATGACAAGAAGTGGCTGGCCATACCGGGGAATCGTGGTGTTGCGGAGGATTTTGATGAGTGGGAGCCAAAAACAACGTATCAGGTGGTATTGCAAGTGGATTCTGATTATTGGACTGTCATTGTCGATCAAGAGAAAATCGACCACGAGAGCTATGATGAGAGTCTGTTTGACTCGCACAGGATTTCACACTTCTACATCGGTGGGGACAGTAATGACCAAAGTGCAACGGGCGGCCACGTGACGGTGACCAACGTTGTGCTGTACAACGAGAAATTGTTGGAAGGTGATCTGGATGAACTCCATGCCAGCAAGGTCACTATTCCATCACTGGGTGTTGAGAAACATCCCGCAGAACAGGCGGCCAACACGGGCGCTTCGGTTGCTTCCGAGTCGAAGACTGAAGAAACCACCGCCAACCATGCGAAATTGACTGAGGATGATAATGATGAACAACGAGAGGAAAACAGCGTCCATGGTCCGGTGCTTGCGGTGCCTCCTTCCACGGTTGCCGCGGGATCATTTGTTTCTGAACTCGCCGTAGCGGCTGAGAGTGCGGGGGCTTCTTGTCCGGAGGACGGTGCCCGGCTTCCCGAAGGCGGAACGGCCCAGCAAACCACACTGAGTGAAGACAATGAATCGATGCAGCGGGATTCAGAGGAGCAGCCACAAGAACTACAGTCAGCGGAATTAACGGAGCTCAATGAAGTTGAAAAATCCTCTGAAAGTAGTGATACAGAACCGCCAGAGGAGGGGGGAGAAGCGAATGGCAGGAGCGGCGGATCAGTGTCTTCAGTGGCTGTATCATCGGATATGGAAACGGTCGCTCCACCAGCTGACGGTGAGCACCAGGTGCAACAAAGCACTGAGCCTTCCGCTGAAAATGAAGACGTGCGGTCCACTGGAACCGGAACCACCGGCGCGGAGCGAAGCCTCAGCCTCGAGGCGAGGTACTAAAATTCCGAGAGAACAGTGAACTCAGACAGCAGCCTCACTCCTTCAAAGAGTGACGCCGAAACAACATCCGCGGAGGACACCGGGGGCATCTCCCGGACTAAAGGAGCCGAATTTCCCCTTGAAAACGGCGAGGAGGTGCCACGGTCGGTCGACACCGCACAGGGTAATACAAACAGCACGCCTGGAGACGAAGCGATCCCCTCAACACAAGGCGCAGCACAACACCCTGACAACGAGACCTTCAACACCGGGGAATTCGCTGAGTTGCTGTCCTTGGGTCTATACCGTGACAAAACCGTGCATGGATGTGTGTCTTGGGTGTTGTTGCTGCTGCTTCTGGTGCTGTGGGGCACTGCGGCTTTCTGCTGAGGTGTGGGGGAGGGTGGAATTGCGGCTTTTCTTGGAGCAACAAATGAGCGGCTTCCCAGCATTACCCACTGAATTTTTTAAAGAATTTTCCTTTTTCTTTTTTTCTTTCGAGCGTTTTTTTTTCTTCTATTTATCACCCCTCATACCTTTGTTTTTTTTTTTTTTTTTTTGGGGGCAATCACTATGGACTTTTTTTTTTCTTTTCTACTCTTCCCTTTTTTAATTGTTTCTTGCTGCACTCTTCCTGCAAGGGGTGCCGTGTGTTTCCCGCCCAACTGCTCCACTCGCGCACCCACCGACACGCTCATGACGACGGCCCTGTGCGCCTCGCCTGCTGCACGCATGAGGAGGGGCCGCGACGAACGGCGCGCTGAGGGAGCCGTGACGTGTGGGCGTGCGACGAGGGCCTGTGGGGCGGAGCACACATTTCATTCCCTCTTGTTTTGTTTTTATTGCGGCCAGGGCTGGCAGACACCCGCAGCGCCACACACACAGCCACACCCTGCCGTGTTTTTAGGATTTTTTTTTTTGCGTGTCCATTTCATGCGGTGGCGCACCCTTCGGGGTCGGCCTCGTCAGCATTTCTTTCCTTCTGATGACTTTTTTTCTTTTGCTGCGCCCACTCTCCCGATGGAGAGACGCGACTCCCGTCATTTCTGCGTGCTTCTCTCATTCCGCACACACACACGAGTGACTGTGCTCTGCGGGCCGCACTCACACGCCGATGAAAGGGCTGAGGGGAGCAGCAACACGCAGATGAACCCATGAAATATAAACGATGTGCGGACACATGGAGGGTCAGACGGTTGAAGCACACGTAACCATCCTTTTAATTTTATTTTGTGGGCAAAATACATACAGACGGTTTGGTGTGGCCACACGGCTGCCAGGCGATCTTTTTCTTATTTTAAAATTTGTGTGGAACAGTAATGAACAATTTCCTTTTCATTTATAATTATTTTGTGTGATGGGGTTTATATAAGAGGAAGGGGGACGTTTTTTTGTTTTCAATAAATATTGTGTGAATTGCCGCTGCTTGGAATGCAGTGCAGTCATGAGTTTGAGCGGTCTTCTTCTTGTTGTTTCCGTTATGCGTCTCCGCTGTACATTTTTGTGCGTCTCTCCACATAATTTGCTTCATTTTTTCTACGTCTTTGCTTTGTGTTTCTGCAGGCACACACAACCAGACAAACACACAAGATGCACATTGCAGTGGATTTGAATGCACCTTTTGTAGTGCATGCTGGCAGTTGCTTGTGGCGGCTGTTGTCTTCTTCCGTGGCCATGAGGAGAAGAGGGAGGGAACGCGCACCCCGAGTCACTTTTCCTGCGGGTGTGATGCACTTCCTGTGACTGCGTTGAGTCGGGCAGCAAATCCTATTGTGGGTGGAATTGCCGGAAATTTTTGTGTCGCGTCATGGATGGATGAGGGTTCGCTTGCGCGTGTGGCTGGTGTGGTGGGTGCTCGCTACGTGTGCGTTGTGTGATGGCCGCGGGTTTTGCCGTTTCCCGTTGGCTGTGGGAATGAACTGTAGGCGGTGGCAGAATTTACGGAGCGCCTGGCGCTGCGCGTGTTGAGATGAGCGTGGCGTGCCGTTGAGTGTGTGCTGAAGAAGCAACGCTGAAGGTGACTGTGGGAGTTTGAGGAAGGGGTGGGTGATGATTGTTTTTTTTTTCTTGTGTGTGTCTGTTGTTGCACCGCGTCCACCTAATTGTTGTGCTTGTGGTGGTGCGTGACTCTTGTCGTAAGAGGTACCGGTGAGTGGTGTAGCGGCCGCGTCTCTTTTGTTTTTATTCTGCGTTGACGTGTTGTTAGTTTGTGCTGAAGGCTGCACGCAAGTGACAGGAGTGATGGTGATGATGATGACTGGCCGTGTGCTGCTGGTGTGTGCCCTCTGCGTGCTGTGCTGCGGTGCTGCGGTGGTGGTGTCGGCGGCCGACGGTGCTGACGGTCCTGAGAAAGAAGGAAAGGAATCAGCTGAGGATTCAGGGTCTGAATCCCCCGACAGTCAAGAGGAATTACTGGGATCGTCAGGCTCAGTCGATGGAAGGCCCGAATCAGCGGGGCAGTTGTTGGATAAAAAAGGAGGAATAAATTCCCACCAGCAAGTGGACTCGGTCATACATCCATCAACAGGCGATGAAAGAAGGGTGGAAGAAAAAGAAAAAGAGAAGGAAGGAGATAAAAACGTCTCAGGGGCACTTGAAAATTTAAAGAAAGATGAAGAAACATCACCATTACCATCGAACCCACCAGAAGGAGTAGGAATACTACCGCCTCCAATACCGCCAGCATCCAATGACGGTCATGTCGATGGCATTCCTGCTGATGGTGGAATTGTTGGCAATGTTTTGTTGTCTCCTCCTTCTGCTGGTACTTCTCGACAATCGCCTAATCCCACGGTTGGTGATAATTTGCAAAACACCGGCGTGCGTCGTCAATCAAGAAA